AGATCAGTAACTGAACTCCAATGTTGAAATAGCAGAACCTGTCAGGTAGAGACTGAAAGTGCTAAAATAAAAACTGACTGGTACAGATTGATAAATAAAATCACATTCAAATTTCAGAAACTGGCAGGGACAGATTGGTAAATATGCTCACACATTCACACAACAATAACTGTCCTAGAAAGATGAGTAAGCACACTCATATTCACAATGCAGCAATTGATAAGAGCAAATTGATAATTACACACTCAGTTTCACAGCAAATTAACTGACAGGTACAGTTTTGATAACTACATTCACATGTTCAGACAAGAAACTGACAGGTATGTATTGACAGTCACGTATGCACCAAGCAGAAATTGACAGGTCCAGATCAATCTGGACATAACAGAAACTAAGAGGGCCAGGTTAATAACTACAGTCACACTCTTGAATTGCACGAACTGACAGGGACACATTAATGACAACAATTACATTTTCACGTGATAGAAACGGACAGGTACAGGTAATAAATACATTTCCATATTCCCAATGCAGAAACTGAGAGAGAGGCTGTGAAATGAACATAAGCATATGGATAACTAAACTCTCATTCACAGCAGAAATCGGTAAATACACGCACACACGTACATAGCAAAGACCTGATAGCGACAGATTGATAACTACAATTACACATTCACACAGGAGCGAGCTTTGGGGATAGACTGATAATTACACAAGCATAATCACTGGAGGAACTGATTGGTACAGATTGATTACTGCACACTCACATTCGGTCAGCAGAAACTGATGGACAGATTGTGAGGGAGTAATAATCATTCACTTAGTGGAAGCTGAAATGGCAGATCGATAACTGCACTCCCATTTTTACACAGCCAATAATGAGAAATAAAACTAACCCTCAGTCAACCTGAAATTCTGAACAACACAATATCATTCACACTGTAATCAGGGACTCATTGATAGTGATAAAACAAAAAAAAATCTACACACAAGAGATTGTCACAATTAAAATTTGCAAAAGGTACTGTGTTCAAAATATTCTTAAATGACAATAATCAGTGTAAATACAACTGACGTGTTGACAAATAAAGTTCAGAGAAAATCCATGAAAAACAATTATTGCTAGAAACTGAAATGCACAAAATAACATCCACGCTAATTAAGTGCAAAGCAAGATTCCAGGAACTGAAATGTAGGCAGAAAGCTGCTGACACTGATTGAAGAGCCTCAGGGATAGAGAGTAAAATTTGTGTAATCAGCAGAAAGCGAAAGGCACGGGTCGCAGTACATCAGTTCTCTTTTGTCATCGAGGTCATCCGTGTAAAACTGATACCGACACACGCTGGCAGGTATTCTGAGGAACGTATGAATAGTTTGGGCCTATACTCATTGGAGATTTGAAGAAGGACGTCAAACCTTTCGAGGAAACGAAAACTGAAGGGTGTTGACGGAGCAGATGCTGGTATAACGTCCTTAAACTTCAGAGAGTGGAGGACAAGAAACATGAGCAAGAGAGAACATTCCCTAACTCCCATGTTCATCAAGCACGATGCAATTGTCAGTAGTTCCATCATTTCCAGGAGTGAAACACACCACTGTCAGATTTCAGTGCATTTTGTCACTTGACAACTAACGTGATGACATTTTTAAACGGAGGAGAAAAGAAAACCATTATCAAAAGATGTAGATTAAATCGCGATTAGGATGTCACGATTTGGAGAAAGCTCGGAGTTTGATCCGTGTACAAAATTTCGATTTGCGTTTGAAATTTCATTGCAGATCCGGGCAGATTCACGTTTTGTCCCATACTAACCAATCACAGAAAGGCTAATGTCATGTTTTAACATTCTTGTAAACTACCCATTGAGGAACAAGGCTTTCTCCCATCCTTCATTAGCATTGCTGACGCCATCAGGCTATAAAAAGCGAGCTCTGAGCCCACTTCTTCTTGTTCAATATTGAATATGGACTGTCGCAATTGTAGAGGAAAGGAAAGGACAAGTTGCCAAGAAGGGCGCTAAGAAAGTGGTGAAGAGGGCGCCAGCGAAAAGCGGCAAGAAGAGGAGAAGGTCCAGGAAAGAAAGTTATTCTATCTACATCTACAAAGTGATGAAGCAGGTTCACCCCGACACCGGCATCTTCTCCAAGGCCATGAGCATCATGAACTCATTCGTCAACGATATTTTCGAGCGCATCGCGGGGGAGGCTTCCCGCCTGGCCCATTACAACAAGTGCAGCACCATCAGTTCCCGGGAGATCCAGACCGCCGTGCGGCTGCTGCTGCCCGGGGAGCTGGCCAAGCACGCCGTGTCGGAGGGTACAAAGGCGGTGACCAAGTACACCAGCTCCAAGTGAGACACCACGTTGTGTTGAAAAAAAACACACCCAAAACCCAACGGCTCTTCTAAGAGCCACCCACAGCTTCCCTGAAACAACTGAACTATGATGTTAATGTCTGTACGACATTTGTATTTTATAAATCTTCCGTAAATTAACAATTGATCCCTGGCCCTGAGCGCGCTTGTTCTCGGATGTGTTCATACACAACTGTAATCGCTGCCTGTGGACAGGGATCATGTCAAAGACCAATGAGCTATTTTGAGCAATTTCTGTGTGATCGTGTTCCTCTCTCACTCAATCGATTCAGAAGCTACAAGACCCGGTGGGGTATGCAAAAGGGCAAGGAAGAAAATATACTTTTCCTCCGAGTTCCGTTTCGCCCTTTTGTTTTATTTCCAGATCTCCTCGCGGGTTTTGTCAGGTTGTTGAGGCTTTTTGCTGTCGGGGAGATACTTTCAAAATGAGCCGAGATAAAACCAGAACAGCTGCCGGACTGACATAGTAAATGTGGAGCTTTTGCTGAACTCTGATCGAGTGCAATAAGGGAGGGCCGCTTTTAAATATTCTCGAAAAACGGTGTCCGCAATTAAGGCGCTCACCTGGAAGAACGTTATCGAATGTTTTATCAACTTATCGGGTGTTTTTGAAATGCGAAATAAATTAGTTGCAGAGTGCAGATTTTGGCGCTTTTTTGTTTCCGCTTGCATTTAATGTTCAGAAAATCCGATTCTAGGTCAGAAATTGACATATTCAAGGAGGTGAGGGAAAGGGAGATTATGTAAAGTATACATTTAGAATCTAAAAGTAAATTAACTCGAGTATTCGTGCATTCTATTGTGTTCACCTTCCTACTTTTTGGTACATATTGGCGGGCTTTTCAAATCAGAAAGAAAGCGTTTGATGATTTGGCGCCGGTATTTTCCGGCCTCCTCCCCGGGCCCTCTCCGGATTGGTGAGTGAAGCAGATATCTGATTGGGAATTGAAACGACATATAGAGAAGCTAAACAATGTGGCCAATCAGCAATGGCCGCACCACCATTCCTCCCGAAGGTATAAGATGCCGGAATGTGGGCGCATTGCATCATACTGTGTGAAAGTGCTTGTAATATATTCGTCACGTCTGGGAGAGGAAAGGGCGCTGGTGGGAAAGCTCGCTCGAAGGCGAAGAGCCGGTCGTCCCGGGCTGGTCTGCAGTTCCCGGTGGGCCGTGTTCACAGGCTCCTGAGAAAGGGTAACTATGCTGAGCGTGTGGGTGCCGGAGCGCCGGTTTATCTGGCTGCGGTGCTCGAGTATCTGACGGCTGAAATCCTCGAGCTGGCCGGTAACGCGGCCCGGGACAACAAGAAGACCCGCATCATCCCCAGGCACTTCCAGC